CCTGTGTCTGTCAGTCCCTGTGCGGCCTTCTCGACAGCCAGCTCATCCTTACAGCTGTTCTGGAAAAGCTTGACACTGGTGAGTATTTTTTGGCGGCGCACTGATAAGCCGCGAAATTTGCGAAACCTCAAATTTTACGAATGCATGACATTCAGCGCTCATCCAGAGGTTGGCTCGATTGTACGCTATTCTTGATAGCTTTATATCCGCCACTCCGACCCTCCGGGGGTGGGCACCTCGGCTTGTACGGCAAGGACGGCGCTTCGTGAAGGCAAAGAAGATCCGAATATGGAAAATCCAGAGTTAAAAGCGCGGCATGACATAGAATGACATGCGCGGGATTTCCTGACCAAATGAGGACTGGCAGCCCGGAACGCGACGGATCCATCCCATACATATGTGAGCAAAATCCGAAGTCTACCATGAAGCGGGCCGGCGCGGTACGGAAAATCCGAAGACAAAATGTCGCGCGTATGAATGGACAAGTGAAGGACATGATGCCCCTCGGGGTGGTTCAAACTGCTGAAGCAGTCTTCTAGATCCTAGTTCCCCTTTCCGTGTCTCGGTATGCTCTCCAAAAGTCGGCTTATATGAGAAGCGATGGCTACCAATGGACGACATTCAAGATACATGTGGATCTGAACGCAAAAGGCTCCTGGGATTCGGGGCATTCAAATGTGTTTTTAGTTGTGGCTTCTATCTCTCACAATGAGCTGGCACTGTAAATATCTCAAGGCGAAACCGAAAATACGCAGCTTAGCATTCGGGTCTAAAAAAAACCGAGATCTTCCACGCATGGTCTAAATTAAACATTGCCCCAGCCAATTGTAGATTCTCGGGGATGCACCCGCGGTTCAGTTCAAACCGTGGCCAACAACGCGTCTTCTAGCTCCTTTTCCTTAATCCGCGCTAGCTCTTTTTCGCGCTCTCTCTCGCGCACGGCCTCGGTCTCGCGCGTGAGCACATACGACGGCGTCATGTACGGCTTATAGTCGAGGTGGCGCTTCACATAAAAGCACATATACGCGTTCGAGCCGAGGCACGCGCTCAGGCTCGCATGCGTTACTCTATTTTACGCAGGGGGAAGTATTAGTAAAATCGGGGACAATGAATTTAGAAAGGGGGACGCGCTTATCGTCATCGAAGCGGTACCACTGTCGGGAGCATGGTGAGTGGGCAGGATCAACGCGGGAAGTAAGCCCACCTCGTCTTCGAACCGGGCATAGTTGGTGTAATGCCCGTTGTTGATCTGACCCTCGTGGTTGATGACCGCGAACAGGTCGTACTCGTACATGGCCGCGGGCCCGGGATATCTACCGTTCCAGATTTGGATTCAGGAGATCCGACCACACGCGAGAAGGAAGAAGGAATTAGCCTTACGAGAACACGGGCGAGCTGTTGCTATTCTCCTTCTCGGCGCCTTTCATGACGAGCGTCGTGAACGACGCCATGTTTAGCGTCGCCGGAAAGCGGATCTGCGTGTCGATCTTGCGCGCAGAGCTCTTGTCTGCCGTCTTGTGCTCGAAGCGCTAAGTTCCAAATGAACTTATCAACGGGAGAACTAGGAACAAAAGAACGACGATACGAACCTTGAATTGGAAGCTCAGCACGGGCGGAAGTTTGCGGATGCTCAGCCGCTTAGATACCTCCTTCAAAGAACATCAGCTCAGGAGCCCGAAGCAAAAAATCAAACGCAAGACCCACATGGGCGGCCTTGCATTTCGCGCAACTGTACTGTTTCGGGCCCAATTTTTCCGGCTGCGTATACCTGTCGGGAAATTACGGGACGCAGAGGTTGAGGAATACAACGGAACTTGCCGCTTCAAGCACGCGGCGAGGGTATTGTCGCCTGAGACGACTTCGCCCGCCTTGCCACGGAGCTCTAGGCTGATGTCGAGCATGGGGTCGACGGTGCTGGTGACGTTCCCGCAGCGCTCGCAGACGACGTCGCTCTGCAGCTGGCCCGCGAACGTCGAGTGGATGATGCAGTTGCACGAGACGTTCGTCGAGCCGCGCGAGTTGCTGTGGATGTGGTTCAGCGTCGAAATGAAGAACTCGTGCGCGTCCTGCTGTGCGTAGCCCGCGAGCTCGGCGGATTTGCGCCATGTGCTGACTAGGAAAGTGATCGGTCCGTATGGGTTGGATTCCTCGGAAAAAATCTGCACAGCATTGGAAAGCGGAAAAAGAAAGAAAAACGGAGAAGAAATCGAACCTCGGTAAAGAGCTTGTCCATCTCACAGCAGGTACAGTCTTCCTCTACTTTGCACTGCCGGTTGTTGTGTTTGTCGCCGAGGAAATAATTACGGAGGAGGGGATTATGGACGAAACACTGGAGGACGACGTTCATAAAGCACGTCTGGCCGAGGTTCAATAATCCTCGACGGCCTGCGGTAAAACGAAAGGTGAGCGATCATGCAATCATCATTTGTTTAATTCACCTTGACACGGGATCGCCACAGAGTTTTCGAGGGCCACTGCGTCCTGGGCAGTCGGAACCCAGGGCTGAAAGCGCTCTCTGTGCTTTTTGGCAACTAGGCTGGATTTAAATACTGTGTGGTGGCATACTTCAGAAATAACCGACCTTGAAATCTCGTCTCACCCTCCTCGGCCGTAACCGTGGCGGCCAAGTACATCTCATCTACCTTGGCGTCGTATATAAAATCCCTGCACTCGAAGCAGAATATGGAGCCAGATTTCACGTCCGCGCCTGCGTGCTGTGAGACAAATGTTTTAGGATAAATGAAAGCGCTGACAAAACGTGTGCTGGGATTCCTGGAGATGGCTCGCTACGTGGCCGCTCTTCCAGCAACCCGCGTACGAGCAGTGCAGACAGACAAACGGGCGATGCAGGGCGAGCTGACAGGTCCCGCAGGTCGGTGCCGACACCTGAAATTCCGGTAAATGAAACCGATATTAGGTGAGATCCATATACCTTTCTCCGCTTCGCAGGATTCTTGACACTCTGAAACCTGCGGACCTCCCAGGCGACGACCTCTTTGAATTTCTTCAGAGGACTTGTAGGGCCATCTCCTGTGGCGAGCGCGGCGGAAATGTGCGGACACGCTTGGATGGCGTCAACAGGTGTTTTCATCTTGAATGCTGAGCCCGATATCGCCTCTACTGTGTCTACAGTCGCGTACTTTGAGCTCGCGTGTACAGTCCTGCGAATGTGATGGTGGCGCGGAAGAAGATCGGCTTTGCTTAGTCACTTTTTGATAACTCCTCCTCAGGCCTCATCAACCGGCTTCTCTTTTTTTTTTTTTTTTTTGGAGCGTTTGGTGTCAACCGGCTTCTCCGTCGTCTCAAGACTATTGGCGTCTTCACGAGCTGGAGATATGAGTTTGTTGATGATACCAATTTTAGCACCGCGAGCAAGTCGCCGTCGCAAAACGTCAAGGTTCACAACAAAGTAGCTGCAATTGCCCTCCAATGGTCGAAGGAAGGTCGCGCTACGTTCGAAAACACCCAAACTGAACTCATGCATCACTCTCCGGGTCGCGAGGACCTCTCTCACCACCACGTCACTTTTGACGGCGCCATAGTAATTCAACCCTCCCACACCGTCAAATGGATTGGTGTCCACCCCGACTCGAAGCTTACCATTAAGCATAGAGTCGAGTCCGCTGCGCGAGCATTGAGCGCATCGCTTGCACTTACTCACGCCGTCTGGGGGCTGAAACCACTGATGGTTCGCGACCTCGCGCGCTCGACTGTTTTCCCAAGGGCAGACTATGGTGTTACTTCCTTCTTCCCTCACCCACCAGCTTCGTTTAAACCTTTTAATTGTGTTAATAAATCCATAGCATGATGCATTACAGGTGGCTTCCGAACAGCGGCATTGGCGGCGCTCGAAAAGGAAGCTGCGATTCTCCCGGTCTCCCTTCGCTTGGAATCTGGGCTACTTCAACGCCTCGCTAGTTATCTCGCCCTACCCCCCTCGCATGGTATTGTCCCTCTGCTGCGTAACGCTATCTCGCGTGCTCCCAAGAATGCCCACCGAGCTTCTGCCCTCCACTTCGTCGAAATTCTCCCTTCTGTTCGATGGCCGTCCAACGTAAGCTTACCTTCCCGCGGTGCACGCATTCGTGAACGTAAACCCCGTCCCCCCATAGATGGTACGACAGATCCGCGCGCACGCCAACTTGGTAGCGGCGCCCGTGGAAAGCGAGGGGGGGCAGTGGATGAGCGATACGCTCTGAGTCTGTCTCCACCTCCGGGTGGAAGGCAAGTGACGTTGACTGCCCCTCCTGTAACATCTCATGCATCATCCCCACAGACAACTATGCAACTCGTTGGCCCCGAGGACTTGTCGCTATTTCAACGGGGGATCTTTCTTATAACAATCACCGACGTTCCGTTTTTTATGATTGAATATCGATAATTTTATTCACGTCACAGTCGATGTACACCAATTCAAAGTTAACGCGCTAGCACCAGCCTGAGGTCCAGACACATTGACGGTTAGTTAGGAACTACTATGGCTTAAACGCAACCTGCTTGGCCTCTGATAGACAATTTTGGGGGGGTGAAGAATGAATAGTCAAAGTTCATAACATCGGACCAAACTTTGCCGCAATGTCAGCTTGAAAAAAAACGCCGAATTGTAATTCACTGAAGGGAGCGAGTCCTTACCAGTAGTAGTAGGGCTCAATTTTTTCCGTCGTTCGCGTCGTTCACCCAATATTTGTTCAAAATGAATCGAGATTTCAAACCCCGCCGCGCTTGTTGCTCTTTTGACTTTTTTCCTTTCGAAAGAAAAAAGAATGTTGTCCCCCCATAGCATGGCCTAGCCCCGGGTCTTCCTCATAATGAGCAACTCGCTACCACAGCAATAAGAGCGGATGTGTTACCGTTCCACTACCAGGCCGTTCCTTGCTTTGTGTGGAAATTAGGTGTGGTTATAGTCTCTTGACAGGCACTTTATCCAAATCATGAAATATCTCGAAATCATCACAAAAGGGGAACAAGGGGAAAATAAAAATTACAAATCCACAGTGAAATGACCTAGCCCCGGGTCGAACCGGGGACTTCCTCGGAAGCCCTTTCACATAGCCAAGATAAGAGGACATGTTATCGCTACACCACCAGGCCTTGTTGGCTTTGGTGTTGGGCGGTTCTGATAGTAAACGTTGATTGAGGTGCCACATCGGAAATGAGTCGAGAATAGGGTGCCGTTTCTTAGATTGCGATCAATTGAACTTGATATGCGTGAAACTGAGCTTCTTAATGACAGCGAATTGGCGAAAAAAGAAGTGATTCATTTTGAACGTTGAGCGCGCGCCGGAGACACGGTTTAATCGAGGCGCCTGGGCCTGAGCGGGGGGAGTTGTAGGCCAGGACTGAACGAATGAGGCGCAAGGACGTCCACTTAATTAGAACCGGATTGTGTACTGGATTGTGTGTGCGGGAGATTTACGAACGGAGTGTTGCCTCGCCGGAATTCATCCGAGTCTTCTCGTCCAGGGGCCGAGCGAAAGATCACAAGTCCCAACGCACCGTCGTTTTCGCCCTACGGATCCGTGGTGCGATTGGGAATGGAGTGGTAAGTTTCATGCCGTTCGGGTACGTTGCAGTTGTGATAATGAAAGGTGGGTTCCGTGTGTGGTACTTTGCGGTCATGGCTAATATTCGCGACGGACTTGGATAGATGAGATGAGATTGAGATTTGACGGAAATTGGGAAGAAGGAAGGCTCCGGCGATTATCCCTGCGCGTGGTTCGACATTTCGAACAGGTAAATAATCACTGGGGTGTCCTCGTTCTATATTCTAGACTCCTGTCACACAAAACAAGAAGATCTCGATCGATCGTTGCAATGTCGGAGGTGGGTTCTGGTGTTTCTGAACGTTCTGATAGATGGATCCCGGTCAGGAATCGACGTGTGCTGATTTTTGCAAAGGCAAAGGACGGTGCGTTGTCGCCGTGGGCCGGTTCTGCAAAAGGCTGTGATGTTGCCGACCTGACCATAATCCACCGGCGAAGAGGTTCGGAACAGACTCCGAAGGTAGGATCGACCTCTTTGTTCAATGAGTCGTTGCCAGTAACTTGAAGTGAATCAGATTTACCACTGAGGAAGCTGCTCGGTCGTGCGACTCACTGATTGGTTAGTAGTAGAGATAGGGGATCGTCAGGGAGGGAGATCGGCAATACTTACAGCGGCCAGCAACGATATCGCTGTATCACATTAGGAACTATCCCACCAACTGTCACCACCGGTAAATCCCTCATGTGGGGTTTCATTTCGAGTTATAGAACAGGTATCACCTCGGTTTATTCCGGGATATCTTGGTGGAGCGACTAGGAGAGCCGCCGGCGACAGAAAAGACTACGGATCCGAGTACATTGGATCGCACCACATGTAGCAAGATTTTGGCGCAACTCCCCAGGTTTTCCAGTGGAGCCTTCGCTCGTGTTCATTGCGGATCGAAAAGTATCCGGTTGTTTGCCGATCGGAGTTGATTCCCACGGTTGAATCGCAGGTACATATATCAGTTTGATTCTATATTCCAGTTCAGTTCGACTAATCAAAAGGATCCTTCAAAACAACTCCGCCATGAGACTTTCGGTGGTGTCATAAAGCTCCTTCTGCAACCTCTCGTCCTGCGCGAAACTCGACGGCGTCCCGACGGCCGCGATAGGCACAACATACGCACCCTGATATCTCGCCGTCTGCCCCGAAACCTCTTTCCCCGCGGCTGCAAACGCGACAGGCATCGCACCCTGACGCCACGGCACAGAAACCAGCGGGTGGAGCACGTTCTTCAACACCCAACTGAAATAGGGGACGGATGTAAGGAATGTATCCACGCCTAGGTTATGGTGAGATCTCTTGCAGTCACATCTGTTGATAAGAAGAGACTACCTTGGGTCGCCACCGAACCAGGGTCCACGGCCATGCATGTTATCGGCACAGATGCGGCGTTGAGGCGCTTCTGGAGCTCCTTTATGTGAAGGATATTCACGAGCTTTGAGTGGCCTGTTGAGACAAGTGAGCAAATATACAGAAGATGGCGCCCCATCGTACCGTACGCAGACAGTTTCGCCCCCGTATATCCGCCGTAGTCCTTGTTGATCTCCTCCTTGGTGGATAATGTCGTTGGTTTCGCCCACGAGTGGGCGGGTGAGGCAAGCTTTCACCGAGGTAAGAAAAAGAAATTGAGCGTTGAATATTCTGAGACGCACATTAACTATACGGACGTCGGTGCCGCTTTTCCTCGCAGTTTCTTTCAGAAGCGGGAGGAGGGTGTCGGTGAGGACGAAGGGGCTGAAATGGCTACATTTTCGTGAATCAGCCTCTGTAAAGAATCACAGATGCGACGTACTTGATAACCATGATATCAAGTAATCCGTTCTTGTCGAACTTCAATGCACCAGTAGGCCCCCTGAAGACGATGAGGTTGCACTCTGGCAGATAGATTCATTAGAGTTCACATAGCCGCGTTGTTAACTGTCGAATTTCAATGTCAATTTGAACGCGAGGTGACACAAGTGGATGTACCCAGAATATCAAGGCGCTTTTCTTTCTCAAGTAACTCCTTCGCAGCCGCTCTTGCTGCGCGAGGATCTGTCAGGTCGAGCTTGAGCCAGTGAACACTGCCATCATTGATATCCTCGGACTCTAGTTGCTTAATCGCCGCCTCGGCCCGTCCTTGATCGCGCGCGCCCATGTACACCTGAAGCGGCATCATTGATATTGGCTTGTCAGAGCTAACAGAACGTACCTTTGCACCTTTCCGTGCGAGCATCTGGATAGTCGCATATCCGATGCCGGTGCTGGACGCAAGTTATTTTGTTGTCGAACATGGATGTTCTATCCCAACTCACTTTCCTCCTGTTACGAGTGCAACCTTGCCATGGAGGTCAACCAGGTCCTCTTCAGAAATCTTTTGTGTAGGCATGGGTGTGGCAGGAAAATTCAAATGAAACAATGGTGCTGAGGGACGAAAAGAGTTGAGAGGGAACTTGCCGGACATTAAATACATCACATTTCTCGTCATCAGTTTCGTGTAAGCTGCCTTTCTCCCTGCCGCTCGATCTCGCATAATCCCGCTGACCATTTTCCTCTTCGACGCTCCTTGGTCATTGATTAAGTTTGAAGAAGCACTTACAGCCTCAACAGTTTAAACATTGCTAGGTACAAAGAGAGCAGCTATCCTGGGATCCTAAAAACTACTGGAACTACCTGGAAGTCTTGTCAAAGATTCTGAGGACATGTCAGCAGAAAAATTTATCGATCCCCGCAGTGTCTGTCCCGGGTCACCGATCGCGAGAGGGCTGAACAATGGACCATTTTGCCTCTGTATATCCATCGAAACTGGAATTTTTCTCCCATTCCGGTACTCCCGACGCCGCATCCCTGTTTCCAGTTCCGCAAACCAACGGCCGGCATGAACGAATTGATTACTGCTCTTTCTGTCGATATGGTGCGGATGCACACCTCTCTGGGTGGAGAATCACTCCCTCGTCTGAGTTGAACAATTGAGCTTTTAAACGATAAAAATGGCGGTCTCAGGTCGCAACCCCGGTTGAACATCTGGTGGATGAACTTTGAAGGTCACTGGTCACACCCGCTGAATATCCGGTCAAAATGGTACAGTATCGATGCGGTGGAGTGGCTATGAGAAACAGTAACATGTATGTTCCAAACAACATGGATCAGGTTCGTTTCGTTTCTTTCCGTTCTCTTTTATTAGAACTCCTTCCGGCGCTTGCTTGAATCCAGATCTGGGGTTGGCAAACAGCCCCAGTGATGTCGGGGGTCTCTTCTCGTTTCCGGTGCTACAGCAGGCTCAGCAAGAAAGACAGTCGATGCATCCGAGCCTGCGTTCAAACCCCGAAAGATCAAGAAGTTGGATGGCAAATATCGAGACAGAGCTGCTAAGTGATTCTTCAACATTGGGGTAAAAGTGAGAATCTCTATTCTGACTACCGGTCGACTACGAATATCTGACCAAAGTACCGCTCCAACGCTTCGGAACTGCTAACTAAAGCCCCGAGTACAAAATCCGGCCTCACAACGGCGATATCGCACGCCCCATTGAAGACGTAGTTCGAATAAGCATGCCCTTGGGTGTCCTCCAACATCATCTCAGGAGCGTGGAGGTCCGCAGCGCTGCCCGAGGGAACAATTGCAGCACAGCGAACACTGTCCTTGGGGAGACGAGAAAGAACTTGTATGACTGTAGAAATCCGCTTAGGCGAAGCGGAGAAAACAAGCACAGTATGACGCGCTGCATCGAACACGTCGAACAAGTGCTTAGTTTCGCCGGTGTGGATGTCCTTGAGCGCGGGCGTGTCGGGCGCACGATCGCCGGCTCGTAGGTCGGTGTATTGAATCCCATACCCGTTCGTCGCCACCTTCGCCGCTGTTGGGTCGTCTCGTTCATCCACGACAATGGAGCTCCAACGGTAGTTGACGCCCAGCATGGCCAGCGGTCCGCTGCGGTCCCAGTGCGAGAGGTCTGTGCCAGCGGCATTGGCCTGGACGGTTCGGTTTAGGAGCCGTGTCGTTGCATCGAGCATCTCTCTGATGACTGGCACTCGCTCGTGGGTGTAAGAATCGAGGAGAGTCGTCGGCGCAAGACCCCGCTGCACGAGAGCGAGCTTCCATGCAAGGTTGAAGGAGTCTTGGACGCCCGAGTTCATACCCTGCTCCGAGGTGAACAAGCGAATAAATGACGTGTACAATGCCTACCTGGCCACCGAAAGGACTGTGAACATGGGCGGCATCTAATTGGTACGGTTGATCTAGCAGCACACAGAACGAGGGAGTGAGTATGCACCTCCCGCCACAAAACAGCGACCGGCTTGGAACGTATCAACCATACGGATGTTGGCGCTGAATAGGCGTGAGTGGAGACGCCTCAATATCCAGCGACGCAGGTACTGACGTCCACTGTGCTATCGAGACGACTTGCACGATTCTTATGTCGCCCCTACCGGTAATCTTAGCAATTCCCTTTTGGAGAGCGTCATGGTCGTTTATGAGTTCTTGGTAGTTGCACTGGGATGATGCCAGCATCAAATGAAAAAGCCCCGCCACTTCTGTGGGCCGTAGAAACACACTATGCACTGGGAGTTCGAAATGTGGAC